GTTATATAATAAGATTTAGAGCAAAAAACTTGAAGAAAAAATTTCATTTATATATTCACAGCCCCAGGGCTATCTGGCCAGCCTGTGTACAAGGCCTGACTAAGCAGGCTGTAGAGAAGAATCTCAGATTAAGTCCATCAGATTATTAGGTAAAGATCCTCTGTTTGGACTTCAAGCTTTACAAGTGTGCTCCATGTGACCAGATTTCTTTTCCTTGAAATGTCAGAATGCTTTCATGTTATTCTATCCTTGTTTCCCCTATTCCATGGAGCTGTATCCACTTCTCCCAAAGAGGTACGCTGAATAGACAGGCAGAGGACAGATGAAAACTTACATTCCATAGTATCAGCAAACCAATAATATAACACTCTAAGAACAATTTCAGAAGAAGAGTAGAGCCCATGTTTAAGACTGATCTTAAACACCCTGTATGGGCTCTGAGGACCATAAATTAACCTTAATCTATAAACCCAGGCAGTTGCCTTAGCCCGCAGGCTGCATTTTGGCACAAATTTTCAGCTGTGCCAAAACATACGCAGCAGGTGACTCTCTGACATAAGCAATATTTAATTGTGTTTTTTTAAATAATAAGATATCCTTGTATTTATAGAACAACAATCTGAATTTATAAGGTATTATAACATACTTATAATAATGTACTTCATAATATACTTTAATATAATAATATACATTTGAGGAATATTTTAGTTTATTATTCTACTCTTAGTTTTGCTCTTCAAATATGACTGGAAAAAATTTTAAGCAAGTTTATAAGTGGAAATATTTAAAAGTCCCATTACTTGACAGTATTGTAAAGCATGTGTTTGTTTGGTTTATTATGGAAATACAAATTAAAACTCCTCAAATATACTACAGAAGAAATACACATCTATAGTATACAAAAGGATTAGGGATTCCTTTCTCCCCTTCTTCTTTTATCCTGAGGAAAGAGCTAGTGAGCTTAAGCTTTAATTTTTAACAGGTTAGAAAAAGGAATCTTACACA